GGGACCCCCCCCACCCCAGGCCCTCCCTACTGGGCTCGGCTATATGGGGTATCGCTGGCCCCACAGGGGCAGGGGGTCCCGGGGGGCCGGGGGGGCCGGGTAACCCCTTCTCTCCGGGGAGCCCCCTAGCTCCATCCCGGCCAGGTGGTCCTGGGGGGCCAGGGGGACCTGCAGGGAGGAAGAAGAGGGTGAAGGTTGGGGGGTGCCTGTTAAAGTCCTGATGCCTGAAGCTGTGTGGCTATGGAGCCCTTCTGAGCCCCAAAACCACTGCATGGACACACCCCCCCCCCCCCAAAATCTGCCTGCCAGGAAGGGGATGCTCAGCCAGAGCCAGGCACTGGGCTGGGACCCCCCCCCATCAGGGCACCGCATCACCCCTTACCTGGTGGTCCCATTGGACCCTTCACCCCAGGAATGCCGGATGGTCCCCGTCCTCCTGCGTCTCCCTTGGGGCCGGGGGGGCCCTGTGAGCTGGATCTCCCTGCAGCCAAGCAGCACCCTCAGGGGAGCACCCCGGGGACCCCCCCCACCCATGCCCAGTCCCCACCATCATGGTCCAGCACGGCTCCCCGCTGCAACCCTGGTGCGGGTGGGGAAAGCATTGGTGGGGGGGGGTGGGGGGGGGCACCCCAAGGGCAGCAGCCCCACACCGGTGCCCTCACCCTGCCCCAAACCAGAAGCACTTGGGAGGGTGTGGGGGGGTCAAAGCCCTTCAAACCCTCCCCAGAGCTGGCCCGGTCCCCACGTGTGGCTCAGTGTCACCACCATTCCCTGGGGACAGCTGGGGTGGGACTGGGACCACCCCACAGCCCGTTCCTCCAGGGTAAAGGGCTCCAAGAGGGGGTCCCCCCAGGTGTGTGTGTCCCCCCCAAATATTGACAACACCCAGGCGTTTCGCAGGACGTGGCATTGCCACCGCCGGTGCTGTGGGATGTGGGTGGCTGGGGGGGCAGCTGCCTGTGCTTGCCTGCCTTACCGTCATCTCCGGGGTTCCCACGGGCAGCCGGGGACCCCCAGAGCTGCCCAGTCTCCGGCCCCCTGCCCAGGTTGCTGCCTTTGGGTGCCGGGGAGGTGGGGGGTTCAGCCACCGACAACCGGGCCACCTGGCAATGAGATGGGAGAGTTGGGTGCCGCAGAAGGGAGGACCATAAGGTGACCCCCCCCTCCCAAGGGCTCCTGCACCCCTCGAGGGGTGGCATGGTGAGCCAGGGAGGTGGCCGGACCCTTGGCCGGTGGCACAGCGTGGGGCTCACCTGCGCCTCGAGGGTGGCGAGCCGGGCTGTCAGCTCCCCGACACGGCTGCAGTTCAGGCACCCTGCGGGGTGGAAAGTGGCAGGGGGGCACACGGGCCCGTTGGGTGGGGGGCACTCACCCCTCTTTGCCCATGCCAATGCGGCTGGCTTGGGGAGGGACCCACCTGAGAAAGCCGTGGGGCGCAGGGAGGGACGGCGTGGGGCAGTGCTGGGGCGTCCGGCATCCCGCAGGGTGAGGAAGGTGTGAGCCTCTGCCGAGAGAAGAGGGGGGTCAGGAAGGGAGGACCCCCCCCATCCCAGTGCATCACCTCTGGTGGGGGCAGAGGGTTGGGAAAGCCTGCTGTCCATCACCCCAAAATGGGGGGGGGGGGGGGCTTGCAGGGGCTCCTGCTGCTTCTGCCCCATCCTTGCTCTGGGTGAGCCTCAGAGCCCCAAACCCACCCGTGGCCCCAGGGCAGATCCCCCCAAACCCACCCACGGCTCCAAGCCAGATCCCCCTTGAACCCATGCACGATCAGCCAGATCCCCCCAAATCCCACCCATAACCCCGAGTCAGACCC